AAGGCTTAGGTAATCTCTCGAAAGGGAGATTATTTCATTGATCCTTCTAACCACCGAGTTCCTTAATTTTTTTATTCAGGACCAGTAACAACTAAACTTCCGAAGGGAAGAAGAATAGTAAGATAATTTTAGTTTGTTGGTTGGCAGGACTGTCCTGCGTCCCAACATTTTTAAACCTAGGAGAAGAAGTTTTAAATCGGAACATAGGACGTGGGAAGTCAGAAAAAATGTTTTAATCTTAAGTTATATCCTCGAAAGTGCAGATTAGTGAAAGAATTTGGAAGGCTATAATAGTGTACTATGATGCCATTTGTATTTTGCAGTGTGTCGATATGATTTGAATAAAAGTGATTTCATGCATTTTGTAATTCTGTTCGATGGCACTGTACCATTTTGATGAAAGACTACAGGACTCAATGAGGACATTGACCGGGCTGTCCGGGGAGTATGTGACATTCGACCAGAATGGTCAAAATGCAATTTCGCATTCGAATTTTTATTGGAACATCTAACCGAGAAGATTGATGGTTTTTATGAATTAGTGACGTTAATTGGACGATCAGACAAATCGTGAAGGGTTAGTTTTGACTGACATGCTAATTTTTAAATTTTCGATTTGGACGTGAAAGGACACGTAACTTTTTATTATTTCGCACACACTGAAACGGCGGAATCAGAACAACAAAAGTCTAAGTGACAACAACACTGAAAAAACGGCAGAAGATTGAGATTGTGGTTAGAAATTGTCAGAAACCACTCCGAGTTGTAAGGATTGTGCCGCTACAAATCGTTGCAAATCAGTTCACAAGAACCGGTAGGGTGATGGGACGACGTGTCCAGCCTTCCGAGAAGAAATAAGAGCGTTATTTCTCCGGATCCAGAATCCGGAAGGGTCTCGGGAGAGAACTGTAACTCTTAGTTTCCGGGTGATTTTAACAACTTTTAGTTTCCCTGAATGTCTTGAGTTGAATTTAATTAATATATTATTCGTTTTCATATCATGAGAAGCTAGGAGTTGGGGAAAAGGATTGATCCATCTTCGATGGAGATGATGATTTTTATCTTCTGAACAAAAACAATAGTAATATAATGAATAAGTAGTAGCCTTGTTTTTAGGAGTGACCTCCTGGTCTGTGGATATTGAGACCCAGCCATGAGCTCACTATTTTTGCATATAATTAAGTTAATTAGAGCGTTCTGATTGAAGCCGGAAGCAGTAACGTTTTTTGTCGACCCGATGTTGGAAAGACTACCAAAAGAACTGG